TTTTGACTAGGATGGCATAAGGCGTTCTTTGCCCCGTTCTGTGAATTATGCTCACATTTCTGCAGCAAGCTTTCGAAACCCACTTCAATAAATCCAAATATTGCAAAAACCACTTCTTAGAAAATCATGCCTTTTGAGAAATTTGTGTTAAAAACGCTCTTCCGAGTCAGAAATAGCACTGCAAATTTTCCAAAATTCTGCTTTCGAAAAGGAATTTTCAAACTAAGTTCGGATAAATGAGGGATTTATCGAAAAACTCTGTTTTACTAATGATTTTTGCAAGCTTTTGATAGGTTGCTCTTGGTCTCTCACTCTGACTCTCTCTTGCTCTCTCGCTCCCTTTCTCTCTATCTATCTGCTTGCCAATCAGAATCTCGAATTACAAAATCTCGAATGACAAAATCTCGAATGACAAAATCTCGAATGATTAGAATCTCGAATGATCAGAATCTCGAATGAACAGAATCTCGAATGAACAGAATCTCGAATGAACAGAATCTCGAATGAACAGAATCTGGAATGAACAGAATCTCGAATGAACAGAATCTCGAATGAACAGAATCTCGAATGAACAGAATCTCGAATGAACAGAATCTCGAATGATTAGAATCTCGAACGATCAGAATCTCGAATGAACAGAATCTCGAATGAACAGAATCTCGAATGAACAGAATCTCGAATGAACAGAATCTCGAATGAACAGAATCTCGAATGATTAGAATCTCGAACGATCAGAATCTCGAATTTACAAAATCTCGAATGACAGAATCTCGAATGATTAGAATCTCGAATGATCAGAATCTCGAATGAACAGAATCTCGAATGGAACAGAATCTCGAATGGAACAGAATCTCGAATGAACAGAATCTCGAATGAACAGAATCTCGAATGAACAGAATTTCGAATGATTAAAATCTCGAACGATCAGAATCTCGAATTTACAAAATCTCGAATGACAGAATCTCGAATGACAGAATCTCGAATGGTAAAAATCTCGAATGAACAAAACTTCGATTCAGCAGAACACAGTTTGGATGAAGATTTCCACTAGCGGCCCAGTAATTGAACCCAAACTTTTTCTATGGAGGTTTTGGCAATCAATAGCTGTAGCAACACTATCTAAAAATAAAGATTGAAAGAATTTGAGCCCTTTGCGTCGAAAAAAAACAAATTTTTCGACTTAACGCTAATGTTCTTCATTATCATTTGTAAAGTATGATGCTCAAAAAGGACCATCCCTCGGCAGGGCATACTCACAGCCTACTAGCTTCTATCTAATACAAAAAAAATCGATGCTGGATCGAGCCAGTCGAAACTAGATTAGGATACAGTGGGAATCCTGGCATTCGAGATTTGTTCATTCGAGATTTTGACCATTCGAGATTTTGTGATTCGAGATTCTGTCATTCGAGATTCCGATCATTCGAGATTTTGTCATTCGAGATTTTGTAATTCGAGATTTTGTCAAACTACCATCTATCTCTCTCTCGCCTCTCTGTCTACGTGCAGAAGCTTACGACAATTAATGCACCGGAACCAACGAAATCGAGGATGACAATGGCAACAATCGACCCTAATCCGGTCCCGAAATTAATTAAGGCAGTACCCGGGCCCCTTGCTGATGTAGCTTCTGGCACACGGCCAAAAGCGGAAGCTCGACCATAGTCCAGCACCGCAAAAATTAATTTTCGACACCCGCTCGCCTACGCGATTTGGTTCTTAGCCAAGGTGTTTTGGGCTTCAGTGTTGCTGTCGCTGTATTACATGGAAATTCACTGGAATCCAAGATTTCCTTGATGAATCACTGCCCTTAATTGCTTCTTGATGCCACCTACGCTTGCTGGCCCCTTTAATTTACGTCACCTAATTGGACTTGCAGCAATCTGCTTTTCCAGCCGTGCAGATGCAATTAAACCGGCGTAAACAATTAAAAATTGGGTTAGATTCAGACCAGGGGCATCGGCTTGGCTTGGTTTAGGCTTATCTTGGGCTTAGCTTAGGCTCAGCTTAGGCTCAGCTTAGGCTTAGCCTAGATCAGCTTGGGCTCAGCTTACAATTAGGCCTAGCTGAGGCTTAGCTTAAGCCTAGCGGAGGCTTAGCTTAGGATCAGCTTAGGATTAGCTTCGACTTAGCTTAAGCTTAGCTTAGGCTTAGCTTAGGTTGAGCTTCTGCTCAGCCCAGGATGAATCAGGCTTGGCTCCGAAGTTATACATCGAAAATCAAACCATTCTTTCCGCAGTGATTTTTATATCTAAATTATTTGCCGCTTTCCAGCCCCGAAAACTTACTTTTCGATTCTCATGGGGAACCATTAGAGGGGGGTTTCTTGAGAAAGCGGGGGTTTTTGTGCCTTGGCTTCTCACACAGGGGAGGAGGAGGGCGGCATCGATGAATTATTCCGTATCCTGGAAATACGCCTGGGGCTTTGGATAATCAAGCATTAGGGGGCTTCTTCAAACGCCCACCTCCTAGATTCTAGCTTGACTCTTTGACCCTCCGCGATTCAAGGAAATTGGGTTTTTTCAAAGATCGCAACTTCCGGTTGGAGATAAAGCATTGAAATACGCTAACAATTCAATAGCGTAATTAAAGACTCCTGGAGTCCGCTAGGGTCCAACCTACACCAATATTTTGCCTTTTTTTGATTTTTTAGCTTTTAACGTTTAGATGTACACCAAAATCTTTCGTTCATATCAAGACTATTCGCGAAATTTTCTACATCATCTAAGATTTTATTTATTCATGTTTCCAATCTCCAAGTTTGGAAGCAATTGGTTTTTTGAACCACCAAATTTTATTGGTTTTTGCAGCTGATTAAAACTACGCGACGTAAAGACGCTCGCCTATTTATTAATATTTATTTATTGGGATTGTAAAACATCAGCACACTCCTCCCTCCAGTAACCAAGCGGGAGGGGGTTATTCCCAGAAAAATCCTTCCGCATCTACCGTAGAACACACCGAAGGCCAAATAATCAAAGTGTTAAAAACGGGGTAAACAGGAAATATCGCTCAAGATTTTGATAGTCTAAAAAAATTATTTATTTACTTACACATGCCTTTAAAAAATTTTCGGGTGGATTTTTTGATTCATTTTGTCTTTTCATTTTGTATTTTGTATTTTTGCACCTTATTATTTAATGAATTTAATGTTTTGGACGAGAAAATTCCAGCGAAATGGACCTACCCTTCAACGAATTCCGCGCTACCGTATTCGTGGTCGGGCATCATGTTTTTGACTTTCTATCAGTTTTATTAAACACGACGCTGCTCTACTTAATCATATTCCACACCTCGAAGTCGTTCAGGAGCTACTCGGTGATATTGGGGTGGTAAGCTCGTTAAGGTGTTGTTTTCGCCAACCTAGCTGTGTTTTAGTTAGTTTTTTTTAGTTTCAGTGTGTTAATTTTCAGTTTCAATTATGCGTTAAAAAATGAAAAAAAAATTGATTTTAATGCTTTTTTAGCTTGGCCATCTCCGAAGATGTGCTTGGGTTCACCGCTTGGTTTTCGATGGCCAGGTACGTTTGGTAGCTTAAAAATTAAATTTTTCTTAGTGTTATAAGCAAAATTGATTAAAATGTAGTGACGATCTCAAGGGTTTTGTTGCAATTTTATTTTCTGAAAAACTTAAAACTTCAGATGCGTCCCGGTTGGCCACACCCTAATCTATCAGTTTCATGGGATATGCCGAAAAGTGTCGCCTCAATTTTGCTTGGACGGTAAGTTTTCCGCTAATACTTTAATTATGCTTTATGTGTTAAGTTTGTTTTTGTTTGTTAAATTTGTTAAATTTTCAATGTATATATTTTTCAGCTATATATTTGATTTTGTAATCTTTAAGTCCATGCCATCGTTGCTCACTGCTCTGCGTATAACTATTTTATTATGCCCGTCTCGTTTTGGTAATATTAATTTGCAAAATGTTGTTATCAAATTATTGAATTTCGATAATAATTATCTATTTCAGGTATCGTCACCACATCCTCTACCATGGACCTCCGAGACCTTCAAAAGTTGCTCGAATACTATTTTTCCTGTATATACCGTCGTTTTTGGCCATGGTTTGTTCAGAATATGCAAAAGCTCCCTAATTTCTGTGTAGATTTTCTTATCCGTCTCGACAAGCGAATCAAACCTGATTCGGAATATTTTGCGGACGCAAAAGCCAAGCTCAGCCTATCCTGACGACCCAAATATCGTAGCCGTCGCTGGATTCGAGAAGTTTTATCAAAAATTGTAGGTTTTTTGTCTTGTTTTCAGTTTGCACCTTTTAAGCGCTCAGGGATGATTTTCCAAATATTCTCTGCATGCTTGCGTAGTGACTTTCATTAAGTTTTCGTGTTAAATCGCATAAAATGCATCTTTTTTTTGCCGAGACTCAAGCGCATTCATCTATTCGCATTTTTTGCTGACGGGCAAATCCTAAAGATTGTTTGCTAGCTTGCCCGAGCTGTTTCTACGAATTCCGTTAAAATACTATGAACCCCTACACCTTTAATCTTTAGAACACTCGGCATGCTAATCACCGTCTGCCTACCCATTTTCCCGGGGTATTGTTCCGCAATTTACTGCCGCAATCGGATACTAAAAAAGCTGAATGATAATACGAGAATGAGCAGTTCTACTATACGGGTCCAAAGAAATTTGATAAAGGTAGATTTTTTGTTGTTACTGATTTTTCCATTTTTTTAAGTAGGATTCAAAAACTTAGAAATTAACATAAAATTGCAGGCCCTCACTATTCAAGCAATACTACCAGTTTTACACATGTCTCAATGCAGCGTATACGTGTGGAAACAGTTGGAATTACCGTAAGTTTGATAATTTGCCAATTGCCTTCAATGTATCTTTGAAACGACAAAATTCAGATAATCTTTATGATTTTTCTGTCTTTGTGCCCTTAAAATAAACATATCTTTTCATAATTTCTTCTTTCAAAAAGTTTAAGTTTTTGACGTTTAAAACACCTTAAAATTATCCACCTTCAGATTTTCCGACCGTATGCCCTATTTTGAGGAGATGTTCGTATTACAGTCGGCGGTAAGTGTTAAAAAAACCCTATAAATATATGAATGAGGTTAATCTAATTAAAATATTTTTCTAGTTGAGCGCTATCACTCCTTGTATAACGATGTATTACGTTCGGCCGTATCGTCGGAAAATCAAAGAATTCCTCGGTCTCCGAAAACCGAAGCGATCGATGAATATTCACATGGATACCTCAAATATTGATAAGATTTCAACGAAGAATACGGATGAGATTGTTTAATGAAAATCTAATATACAGTTTTAATAAATTATTCAAAATCAATAAAGATCTCACCAAATGCAAATAAAAAGACGAAAGAGACGGCTGGTAACAGAAGCTTATTAAAATGTTTCTAATCAAACTTATTTAGACACTTGTTTAAAATTTTAATGCAATTGGGAATTAGCAGACGCAACGACTAGTAAGTTTTTGAAAATATGTTGCTATACTATTTATATTTAAAGTAATTTAGCAATTTTTTTGGTTTGATTGATGTTTCACACCCCAACGACCATGAGCAACGTAAATGCGCCGGGTCTCAATGTTGCAGTCCATAATTAGTTTGGAGCTCCTCCAAAAACTAATTTACCACCGCACGTCTTTTGATCTAGCCACCTCGATGGCATACACCGAATAAATTAGGCAAATAGGGCTCACAAGGAGAGGGTTTTTGAGTGTCGTCGGGACCTTTTACTTTCTGCAGTGGTCCAACTCACGGACGGACCACTGCAGAAAGTACCATAGTAAGACCTCCGAAGTTAAAATGAATAAAATGAACAAATAAATAATGCTCCGATTTAGACGGATTTCGCGGCTCCCATTAATGCGCCGATCCCAGATTTACTGCATACCAAAAGCACAGGCAGGTACTATCGGCCGCGGGTGCTCATAAGCACTCTTTTTGTATATATTGCAAATAATTTATATAAAAACTATATAACTAAGTCCTATGAATATGTAGAAGATATTATAGTATATTAAAACGCTTAAATAATATTATAAGACGTTTATTAAGTAGTGTTTCTTAATAAATTACGACCGGCCGATAGTACCTGCCTGTGCTTTTGGTATGCCGTCCCAGATTCTGGAATGAAAATTTTCATCCTCTCCTTAATGCGCATTCCATGCCTCGGGGCATTCTGGTGGCCGTTCTTCTTCTCACTTTTCTTTTTCATCTCTTCTCACCCCCAACTAGCGCCCGCCCGTTTGAAAATGCTTTCGGCTCGTAAACGTTTGGCCGACTACATTCGCGGCTCAATCCCCCGCCGATTCCCCCACCTGCTCCGCAAAATCAGCTGCATGGCCACGAAAATCGGCGACGCCGTCCCGAAATGCTCTTCGTATGATGTGCAGAAGGTAATTTTTGGTCTGGAGAGAGTTTAGAACGTTATAATAGGTTTAAATCGACTATTTATACTAAAAAAATCGAAAACTTTTGCCAGGAACGCTCGAAAATACGTGTTTTTGCTCAAAGAAAGCATTTTCGGTATGAAAATAGCGGATTATTGTACTAAATAAAAGGGTATTTTGAGGCCTAGTAGGTTTTAGAAAGTTTTCATAACCTTGAATCGACTTTTCATACTAGAGAAATCGTAATTTTGTCAATTAGGCCGTAATTACGGTTGTCACTGTCTAAAATTTGTCCAAAAACATCCTGAATAGTGGATTATTGCACTGGAAACTGTAATTTGGACCCTAGATGTTCTTTAGAACGTTTTTTTAGCTTGAGATTGACGTTTTGTAGTGGAGAAAAACTAAAATGTCTTCAGTAAGACGTAAAAATAGTCATTTTGGCCAAAATTAAGCTTTTGACTACCCTAAAACGGCCCCCGGTGGCACGAAGCCTTATTTTTAGGTCAATACCAGGGGACAAGCGATCAAAACGATTCAGAAAACTAGCCTTCCGGACGGTTAAAAGCTTCAGTTTTGGGTAATTAACTACATCTTTGGGCCGCAATTGTCGGGGCCGCAAATGTCGGGCGCAAGTGTCGGGCCGCAAGTGTCGGGCCGCAACTGTCGGGCGCAAGTGACGGGCCGCAAGTGTCGGGCCGCAAGTGTCGCGTCCGCAAATGTCGGGCCGCAAGTGTCGGGCCGCAAATGGTCGGGCCGCAAATGTCGTGGCACCCCTAAAACGAATAAATTTTTCAGTAATTAGTGTATTCCCGGCTATTTACCAATTTAAACAAATCATTTTGCTTTAGGAAGACAAGGAAATCGACAATGGATGCGCAACGGAAGTCCAACAAGCTCGGGAATGCTGCGACACCGGTTACAGCACTAATTCGGAGGTAATCTTATATTTTTCTCTTTAAAACTATATTCCTTGGCAGGCAAAGGAGAACGCTTGCTGCTCGGAGCGCGAGATCGAGGCCGAGCTCAAGGCTCTGGGTTTAAAGGACGACGAGAAAGCCGAGAAAAGCCCAGACGAGAACAAGTTCGTCTTCCACTATGACCCGAAGACTGCTTTTAACGCTGCAGAGGTTGGGATTTCTTGGAAAGCTTTAGTTTCCTATTTTTTTTAGGAAAACAAGGAAAACGAGGAAGAGTCGGACGCGGATGAGGAGGAAGAAGAGAGCCCTTGCACCGTGCAGCCAGTCTGCCCACTTCCGGAATTGATTAAGGTGGGGTTTTGCCGGTTTTTTAGGATATAATAATTTTTAGGTGGTAACTGGCGAGGAGGACGAGGAGGTGTTATTTCAAGAGCGCTGCAAGTTGTACCGTTTCGACCGGGAGTCGCGTGAGGTGCAGGAGCGCGGGCTTGGCGAGATGAAGGTGAAGAATTCATTAAAAAACGTTTAGTAATTGAGGAAAACGTATGATGCAAACGTTCGTGCTTTTAGGCAAATTTGGAAAGTTCGGCCATTCATAAAAAGTCTAAGAACAGCGTTTATAGCCGTTTTCTTAGTTAAATCCGCATGTTTATGAAGTAAAAAGTGCAAAATGCGACGGATATTCTTTATTAATGTTTTATAAGTTTATCAAATGTTGATCGGCTAAAAGTTTACAAATCGGCTCGAAATTTACAAACTTGCGAGCAATCGGGTTTACAAATAGCTTTACTTAACGTACCTTTATATTTTACCTTTTTAGGTTCTGAAAAACCCGAAGAGCGGCCGAATGCGCTGCGTCATGCGCCGCGAGCAGATCCTGAACTTGTGCGCCAATTTCCCGATCGTCGCCCAGATGGAGATCAAGGCAAAGGCCGGCACCGACGAGACGGCCCTCTTCTTTTGCCAGGTGCAACTTTTTTAGTATATTTTCTACGTTCTTCGTTTTAGGACTTTTCGGAGTGCGATGACGGCGAGGGCCAGACGTTCTACACCCGTTTCCGCACCGGCTCAACTCGCGAGCGCTTCATCAATCTTTTCCGCGAGGGCGTCGCCGCTTTCCAGTGATTGTGTGTGTGAATATTAATATTTCTGAATTGATCTCGCCTTTTTTTGTTGTTTGAATTTGAATATTACACTTTGCCATTTGCCATTATACGTTGTTCGGGTTGCAATAAAGCCTTGTGAGTTTGATACAAGCTTTCTGATCGTCAAGTATGCGCTTTTCTGGCTTGGCTAGTACCAACGAGCCAGTGTACAGGTCTAAATGCGGAATTCGTCGAATAGCGCGTTTTTCTCAAGCAAATCTACCTCGGATTGAGGGTACTTTACAAAGCAATTTTTTAAATTTTGCAATCTGCCAAGCAAATACAAATAAAATCAACAAGTACTTTTTGCATTCTTTGATGCCTCTGTCATTCCACCTGCCAAAGCTTTTCTAACTAATTTTCCGAGATGAAATTTTGGCTTTAATTTTCTCGCGCTTAAAGGGATGCCGACGGCATAATCAATCGGGTGACGCGCTGGAAAGAAAATGTCTCTGCGCCTCTCCCCAGGGCGCGCTCTCTGCCCTGTTGGCTACTTGCCAATTTGTTGATGGGGGGGATCGACAAATGCCGTCGGCAGCCCTTTAATCATCTTTAGCGGGGTGACGAGAATCGATTTACATCGCCTAATCGATTTACTAGACGGACCAAGGTTTAGCTTAAATAATATTTTCGGCTACGCTACCCCCCCAGCCGTAATGTTTTGGCGTTAACTTTTGTTATTTTACATTATTGGAGGCTCAAATTAAAAATCGCAGTATATTTTTTTTGACGCTTTATCGAATGGCGTTGAAAAAATCCCGAAAAAATAGCGAAATAACGACAATTTTGAGACCCTTCGGCTGTGGTGGTAAAGGAGAATGCCGGTCACTTCGCCTAAATCCGTTTCGCCTAAACCCGCCTAAACGTAAAGGAAACACCTACCATATCGCCTAAAGTCTCTGAGTCTAGGGAATTACTAAGATTTTTTGATTTTTGGGTATTTTTGGGAATTCCCAAATGGGCGCAAATTGGCATCCATCCAGGCCAATCTCTAGATTTGAAGTTGTTCGCCACTTTCAACCTTCAGTCCTTTTTTAATTTAAAATTCAAACCTCTGGATTTTGCAAGAAATTTCAGATGCTCGACGCTTGCATCTGGGAGCTGCGAAATATATTTTTCATTGGTGCCCACCATGTGCTCGACATTTCCGCCATGATACTAAACACAGCATTGCTATACCTGATTTTATTCCATACTTCCAAGTCCTTCCGGAGCTACTCGATTATTTTGGGAGTGTAAGGAGCTGGAAGCAGACTAATAACTTTAAAAAAAGGACAGACGCTTTAAAAAGAATTGCTGTCTAATCGTGATTATTCACATTAACAGCACCTATACTTAACCCTCAAAGCAACATAATAAGTTCAGATAAAAACTTGAAATTCACATTTTTTAGAATAGCCTTCGCCGACGCTTGGACCGGACTCTCCGGATGGTTGTCGATGACTAGGTAATTTTTTCGATACCCACGGTTTAATGACGACTTCAGAACTCATCCGATCGGCCGATCATTAATTTATGAATTTTCTGGCGTCTGTCAGCGAGTATCGGCTCAATTCTGCTTAAACAGTAACTGTGATCTCACGCGCTTTTTACCAAATTTTAGTGCACTCCGTCCTCTGCCATTTTTCAGCTTATAACCACTGCGTGATGCCACTATCTTTTTGGCAAGTTAAAACCTCAGAAAAACGTAAAAAATGAAGAATGGATTATTACAAAAAAAAGGAACAAATAAAGCTTGGATCCGTTAAGGTATCGTCACTATATTCTTATGCACACGCCACCAAAGCCAAAACGGATCGCTTTATTACTGTTTGTTCTTTACATACCTTCCTTAGTCGCTATGGTAATTCTGTTCTGAAAAATTAGAGTTTTTTCTTTATTACATACATATTAAAAAAAACATTATTTAGGTAGCTTTCGACGTTTCGACTTCCAATTCTACAGTAATTTCCAATATTCTCGAGTCCAACAAATTTATTCCAAGTGGATCTACAGCATTTGCTGGCTATGAAAAGTACTATCAGAAATAGTGAGTTTAATCGGAAGTCGTCACAGCAAGATTTTAGCGCCCTAATTACCCTAACTGTTCTTTGCCTTCCTGTATTCCCGGGTTACTGTATGTCCCTATACTACCGTAGCCAAATTTTGCGAAAATTGGATGCAAACAGCAAGATGAGTGCTGGGACGCGGAGGGCGCAGAAGGATTTGGTGAAGGTAAAATGACAAATGAAGTAAAATTTTACCAAAAATTCCTTATCAATATTTTCTAACACGTAAGCTAAAAATCTACCAAGTTCGTGCTGATTTAATTTAGATATCAATTTTGAAGATATTTTTATGACAAGTTTCAAGAGATTTACAGATTTAGAGACATTTAATCTAAATTTAGAGATATTTTTAGGCCTTGACGATCCAAGCGATGCTGCCATTTGGCATGCTTTACGGTTCCTCTTGTTTTATGTGGAGACAAATGGAGCTACCGTAAGACTTTTTTTTGCGTCTTTGACTGATTTTTTGTTTTCCAATTTTTGTGCTTTATCAGATACTTTCTCCTTCCTACTGTACCTTGCTACGATATCGGAAATAACGTATTACTTGTCTTCTAAAAACCAATTTTTAATTAATGATTTACTTTAACCCATAGCCGGAAAGTTTTGGCTGTAAATTTTTTATTTTACATTTTTGTAGGCTCAAATTAAACACCTTAGTAAATTTTTCGACGCTCTATCGAAAGCGTTACAAAATCCCGACGGCAAAAAATAGCGAAAATACCGAAAAATTTGAGACCCTTCGGCTGCGGAAAGGGGGGGGGGGGTAAAGTAAACTCTTACCGACCTTTCGATTGGCCGATTTGACAAGTATGACTCATTTTTCAGATACTCCCACTACGTACCCTTCTTCGAGGAGTTGGTCATCACCATGTCGATCGTCACCTCAGCTTCCCCGTGCATTACACTATATTATGTACGCCCGTATCGGCATCGCCTCCAAAAAATCCTGCGCTGCAAGAGCCGCGCGGAAAAGTTCCCAAGTGAACACCGAGGCGTCGGCCCACGTCACTGAGACGGGTGCCGGCTCACAAAATACACGAAATGTCGACGAGCTTGTTTGAGTTATTTTGAGCCGTAAACGTTGATAAATACCACAAAGTTATACTGCATGAATGAGTCTGGATTGAGTTCTTTCCGGAAAAGTTGAGTAAGCGCGCATTGGAACCGAAAATGCACTACAGAAGACCAAAGAACCACGCTTACAGGTACCAATTGGATTGTTTATTAGGGTGTAAGGTAATTCTCGATCCCCGCGGGACTTCCAGGACTAGAAAATAGTTCCAAAATGACCGGAAATGGCAATTTGGATGTTGAGAGGTGACCCAACAGCTGTTTTTCCCAAAAAAAAAAATCGCGGATTTCGCTTTTTGCCTTTCGGACGCTATTTTAATAACTTCCGTTTTTTAAGTAATTTTTGGACGATCCTATTAACAAAAATCCCCGTTTTGCAAAGTAAATATTTCGAACATCAGAATTTCCAAGAAAATGAATTTATGGTTTTTACCAGGGGGTTCTCGCTGCCGTTTTTTTTGGAAATTCCGGTTTTTAAACCAAGTTCCAAAATATAATTTCGACAATCTATAAGGAATTTTTTAAGGCTCTAAAGGATTTTTCTTAGGCTGGCTTCTTTTTTCCCGGCGGGCCCAACTTTTCGACAACCATCCAAAAACACAAGAATTACAACCGCCACCCCTGAAATTTGCCAAAAGTGGCAACAATTTCACATGTAAATGAGCACCATGCGCGCGCTGATTATTAAAACACAACCCACCCCAATAGTCTCTTCGTTTTCTCCTTACCGCCCCCAACAGTTCTCACGCACATTGTCCCGCGTAGTCGTCCTTTCAAGCTATTGCTCGGGTTTGGCACATCTGGCGTGTACCTAGACCTTTTCGATTTTAGCTATTCTTATTTTCGCTAAATTTCGGGTTAGTTAACTCACTCTTCTCTCTCTCTCTCTCTCTCTCTCTCTCTCTCTCTCTCTCGCTCTCTCCGGTAGGAGTTCAGTTTACCCCCCAGCGGCACCTAACTTTTGTATCTCCGCTCCTTGTTTATCTACGGGTGTGAAAAGTATACCAAAATATTTGCCTTGCTCTTGCGAGTATTTTGGTATGTTTTACACACCTGTAGATGCACAGGAGCCGAGAT